CCTCCCCCCCCCCCCCCCTCCCACAGACCGTTACAGAGAAATTAATGAATTCTTTTCTCTGTAACGGTCTGTGGCAGTTTCTAGAGACTCGATACATCATAGTACAGACCGTGACAGAGAAGCTTCACAGACTATCACTGACCGTTATAGACGGATTCCAGAAAAAGAGTTTCATCGTGTTTCACATTTTAATCCCACAGGAATTGTACTAACAGCTTTTAACATCTAGTTTACATCATAAAGATTATAAACAGTCTTATTTCAAAATATATGATAATTTTTACGGTTCAGGAAAGTAATGATAATGTTTCAATTTATGAAATAATAAAATATGAGTTTATCAATACTGTTTTTATTATTCTGTATATATGTAATAATTACTATTGCAATCCTATCAATTCGATTGATCATTCAAATTGAACAGATTTCCTATAATTTGTTGGTTCTTAATATAAATTACGTAAAATCTTACTTGTTGCGGGACATAAAAAAATGTCACAACAATCTTTTCCTGTTTGTATTGTTTGAATAATATTTAAAAATAGTTGATGTAACGTCTGCTGATCTGGTAATAAAACGAACGATACTTTTAATGAGACAACTTTTGCCAAATTAATTTGATTGATTGTTTCTTCAATCATTTCTTCTGCTAAAATTTGTTCGTGTTTACATGAGTCGGGAACTGCAAATGCAATTGTTTGTGTGGTTAAATTTGCTCGCTCACATTCCTTGATAACATAACGAATCGATTTCGAAATATATAATTGAATTAAATCACTCAAATAGTCTTCATCGAATATTATAGTTGGTAATGACCAATTCACAAATAAAATTTTTCGGCAATTTAAATGTCCACCAGTTGTTTCCGTAATAAATGGAATTGAACTCAATCTATTGTCTTGTTGATACGTTTGACTTGATGGTTGTTGTTCAATTATTTCACCTGCTCGTTCAATTAAACTTTCTTTTAATCCGAATGATGTAGATGAAATAATAATAATGTCGACCTAGAATTATCATCAAAATTAACATTTCGATAAATTTAAAACTTACGTTTTGTAAAGCGATGTCACCCATAACAATTTCAATTGAACCATTAGTTAATTTCGTTTGAGAAAAAACTAGTGGAGATGAACAAAATGACTTTGATTGTTCTATTATTGATTTTGATACCAATGATGAATTTTTATTAGATCTTGGTATTCGATAAGATTTACTTTTGCTTTTTAATGCTAATTCACAATAGCAACGGTTTTGTTGAGCAAGTTTTTTTATATGCAAATATAATTTTTCAGCAATATCATAATGTAATTCTTTACTTTTGAATGTACTTGTTTTCAAATTAGATAATAAATTTAAGATAGAATTTTCTATTTTATTTTTTAAATAGTGTGGAGCATAAAATTGATTTTCTCGAATATTTAATTTTATATAATCATTATGAAATTCTCTTGCAATATCATGTAATTGTTCGATACAAAAATTTGCAAGATATTCAAGCTGTTTTTTAAGAAAACAAAATCAATGAATATTTAAAGAAAATAATAAATCATAAAAATATTGCTTTTTGTTTTGTTTTAGTTAATAATTAGTATAGTAGCATGGATAATGAATCTTATAAAATAAAAAGTGAATGAATCGTTCTCAACTGTTTACAAACAGTAAAATGAAAGAAATCACACATTGAATTCTGGATAATTCAAAATCTTTATAAATATATTTAACACGGAATCTATGATTAGGAAGCATTGAAAATGATGCAAATAAAATCAAGAAACAAATATTTTTATCTTGTTTTAGCAAAAGAAAAACTTCGAATGATTTCTGTATGTTAAGTAAAAAATACTTTAACAAATGTGATGCTCATCAGTAACGTGTAAGTATCAATTGAATCGAATCTATGTTTTTGCTTAAAATATTAGATTCCTATCTAACAGGGAAGAGCTATAAATAAAACAGGGACATACTTGTTCAGATGAAATTTGGCCAAATTTATATTTTCTCAATCGATATTTATCAAATAAATTTTTGAACTTTTGAAAAACTTCATTCACAAGTTTTTGATAACCAAATATTTTAATGATATGTTTTGTTTTATTTCGATTTTTAATATATGGATTTCGTGTAACAGATATTAACATATGATCTTGTTCATATTGATTCATATTTTCATTGAATTCTTCATCATATTGTTTTGTTGAACTAATTTCAAATTTTGATAAAATTTCATTTGTATGCAGATGTATAAATTCAATAATTTGAGTTGATTTATTTGTTGAAACAAGAATATTTAGCTGTAAAATATGATTGTGAATAATATCATCAATATCAATAAGATTTTGAAAAGAATTAAATTTTTCATCATCGAAATAATAAACTTCTAAGATTTTACTATTCAATCTATTCCATTGGCATACAGTAAATAGATGAGTTTTATCATCTAAGATATTTTGAACAATACCAATTGATGTTATGTTAAATAGCCATGTTTTAACAATATTTTGATGATATATTTTCGATTTTATTGACTTGAATAAGTTTTTGACAAAATTTCGAACAACTCGATTTTGTTTTTTTCTTCCAATGAATTTTATTGTATAATCAAATACTGATTCTTCATCGTTTGAATGCACTTGTTTTATTTCAATTTCAATTGCGAATGTTTCTTGTTTTATATAATTAATTAAATGTGAAATAAATTGAGGTTTTTTGAAAAATTCAATTTGAATTTCATCATCAATTAAGTAAGTTGTTTCACATATTGAAGTATTCGAGTTTTTCTTTGTAGATTTTTTAGAAACAATGTCCAGTTGGCGTTTATCCTGAGAAATAAAATAAATTCAATCGATGATATAGCAGAATCTGTATATAGTAGTAATAAAACAAATTTTGATCGATACTTCTTGTATGGCTTTAACCAGTCGATATATCTTTGAATTCTATGTGTGGTTGGATTTAATGATCGACTTGTTTTCAAAAAGTTCACCTTGCATCAAGTATATGGAATGAATACGAAACTCTCGCTATATATTACAACTTCAGTGAATAGTCTATGCTAAAATGTTCATCTTAATTTACCGAGATGTTAGATGGAGATTCAGCAAAAGAAAAGTGACTAATACTCATTTTGAACAATCGAAATTCTGTATCTAATCCTCATTCTAATATAGTATGAATGCTCATGTTTTGTTCCATAATAATTGACAATGGCATTTCTTTTCTTAAATTTTTATTGTTGACGATAAAGACAAAATGATGATGACTTCACTAATTCAGATAAATTTAAAAAACTGTTCATCTTTATTTTGAAATGCTTTTCTTTAGAGCAATAAAAACTGACCAAAAATAAACCAACTCAGACGATTAATACGACTTCTAGATGTTCCTGTAGAAAAATAAAGCAAAAACTCGGTATGATGAAACTCCATAGATAATTCAGCAAAAAAAAATGACCAAAATGCATAGCTTTTAGATGTTTTAGAAGTTACAGAAAGTATGAAAATCATCAATAAAAAACGAGATAAACTATAAAGAAAAACTGTGTTATCTTAGAACTATAAAATCTCATACTGGCATCTCATATATTTGTCTTAGTATTTGATCTTATTAACTCGTTCTTTTTTTTAAAGAATGAAATCCTGGAAATATAAGTCAAAATATCTCTAAATATGCGTCTGAAGAAAATACTGATCTTGTGAACAACTAATGACTTGTTTTAAAGTAAAGATCGAATAATGATTAATGTTCTAAGTAGTTTAGAGCATATTTTAACCAAACTTCATATAATGAGGCGATTATGACTGTAAAAAAGCTATCATCAATATTCAGTGCCTGTTGAATTCCTTTTCAATTCAAAATACTGAATGGAAGATTATCGATAACTAGAAAACAGGAACAATGTGTCTTGATAAAAATCTCTTCTAAAATAAATTTCTAACTTTTATTTAGTAATTCATCATTCCCAATATTTACCGCATTGAAATCTGTTCTATGAACCATAGTTGATGGAACGAATTCAGATGAAACATTGTCAACTCTAAATAACATTAAAACATATTAAAATCGAGATAATCTTCATCGAAAATTTTCTTCCTCAATATGATTATTCTGATTTTTTTGTTGTATCTCCATCTTCAATTGCATTAATTTTGTTTTAAATCTACTTGTTGCCCCAATAGTCGATTTTTCTATCGATCCATCTGCGTTGATTTCCAAAATGAGTTGCGTTATATCAGCATCGGTTAGTTTCATTAGAGATAACCCGTCTATGTTCCTATCTAACACAATAAGAAAAGAGATTTACCATTAATGTGTAGTGCTATAGAAATGACTACCTTTGAATATTTTCGCCTGCTTTTTAAAACCATTTGCTTTCAACCAATCAGTAACCTTCTTCACTGTCCAATTTGCCATGAACTGCAAAATTAAGCATAGAATACGGTCACTGTCTTCAAAAAAAAAGACTATTGAACACTTTCAATGAATGAATGCTCTACAAAAAGTTCTTCACTTTGTTTTCAGCTCATATTAAGTCTATAAGCATTTTTGACTGAGACTAGTACTTTTTTTATGCAACCTTCGATCCAGTTTCGGATATATTTGGAAAATCTTAGATTAGAGCTTTGTTGTGAACTTTTACTCATTGATAGAACAAATAATCAATGCAATATCCTTAACTTTTTCAATCAAAAATGATAGTATATTTCGTCACGATATTGAACGTTTAAAAACTAATTATTTACCAGAAAGCAATGAGAAAAAAAAGAGTTTACTTGCATATTTATTATATTAATGTCATAGAAAAAATCGATGGCTTGGTTTTTTTGTGAAATATCGTTATTTTACTTATTTTATAAGATTTCACGAAATATTTCAAAATATAGATTATGAAACAACTGTTTGTTCCCCTGTGAACGATTCATAGGAGTTACTAGAAATCATCCGTTGGGTAATTCTTTATTGTTTATCGATTCTCGCAATTTCATGTGTGAACGTTTTGTTTAAAATAAATCTAGATTAAATCAAAAACTGTATTGTGTGACATAATTTTTTTTAATTTAGCGTTCAGGTATGATTTTTTTCTTTTGCAAACTTCCAATTTATGTTATACTAGTCTGTTTAGAATTCAGTATATCTCAGGACTATTTAACTTACGTAATCAATCTGTATTGACTGCCGTCACTCGCATTCAGTGATTTCACACGAAGGATAAATTTCTACAGTGACATTCAATTTTCGCCCTGTCTTTTCTCGATAGTTGTTCAATGTCTAATGCCATTTTCTCAAAGAAAAGTAACAACTCAAGTACATAGAGAAAGAAAAGAAAAAAATCTCTGAGGCAAAATTCATTTTCTTTAATTGTCTTAGCACAAGGAATAGTAACTGTCGTATAACTTTGGTAAGTTTTGACTTTGTAATAATAATTAATAACATAACAGTTGTCTATAATAAAAAAAAGTATATCCCTCTAATAAACACTGCCATCGTTTTTATGGCTTTTGAAGATTTTTCTTTTTTTTGGAACGTTAAGACAAATCATATTTGTTTCAACGTAAATAGTTTCAAGATCTAACTTCATGATTATGCAATCATCGTTTATCAGTGTTATTTTTGGATAATTATAGAAAGATTTGTTTTTTTTTGCTATTTTCTATTGTCCAATAGAAATAATTAATGGCGACAAAAGAGAATATTTACGATAGTAAGTTTCATCAGTTTTTTTTTCTTACTCATAAGATAATACTCGATTATATAAGTTTCAATACGATGATAGATATTTCGAAAATAAATCAAGAATATTCATTCTTATTACCGACTGAAATCCGATCACAAATATTACTTCTGAAAAAGAATAATCGGTATTCTCTAGGAACAGCTTTCCTCTATTCTTGTTTTCTGCTTCGACAGGACTTTCAAATTTCCTTTTCTTTTTTTTCTATTTAACAAAATTTACTATTACCAGACACTAGATTCTATTCGTATCGCGATTTCTCCAGTGTGAGATGGCTCTAAGTATGTTTTAACAAAAACAAAATCGTCGATTATTAATGCGGTAAAATTGATTGATGTTAACCAAATTCATTTTTTCATTAATTGAAGTTTAAAAGAAAAATTAGGAAAAGGCTGGCATACCAACAATATCGATAGAAAAATAATAATCTTTTCGACGGTTGTAATAGTTTGATTTCTTTTTAATATAAAAAGAATTGTATGTTGTTTTTTCGAACTAAAAATTAATGTAAAATTCGGACTAATGTTGGGAAAACGTTTTGATTGTCGATAATATTTATTTGGTAACAGGTAGCACTTCCAGATGAGTATTGCATGATCAGAATGCATCGCAAGACACAGCCAAGAATATCATGTCTAGATTCTAGAGTATAAATTTCGACAAATTTCATTTACACAAAAATCTAAAGGACTAACGTTACTTTTCTTTCTATTTCACATTTTTACCAAACTAATATTTGAACAGAAAGAAAATTAAAAATAAATAATTTTCTCACGTAGAATAATAGTAAAAAATAAAATACTTCTACAATGATGGAAGGGTTGCCATAGAAAACGGAATTCATGATCACGTTAAACTCAAAGTTTGAAAAAGTGAAGTCGTGACTTGAACAATCGTATGAATCGAAGCAATCAAGTTATAGTGGTATTTTTTAGCATTACTGCATACTGAGAATTTCTTGTAATAAAGAGAATGTAAAATGTTGAACTTTATGGGCCTATATCATCGTTCAATCGAAAAGAAAGTTCAGGTCGATGTAATATTCAACAATTAAGCAATGAATTACAACATTTTTTTAAAGACTTCCAGATGGATTATTGTTGACAAAAAAATATTTATTAATTATAAATAGGTACTTTATCGAAATATTTATATTTATGTAAAGACAATCGAAACGACTTTTTCGTCGGTCTACTTTGTTGCTATCGTTTTCTTTCGCAAAGTCTTCACGAGAATTTTCATTCTTGACTTTCTCACGGCCAGGATCACAAAACATGAGTATTTAGAGCATTATTAACTACTAGATTTCTATATTACATTTCTCTATAATTGGAAGGAAACTGGTGAACTGATATAATCTGAAATGTTACTCATGATTTTTTTCCAAACCAACTAGAGTTATAATACACTCTGGAGAGTACTACTATCTATTCAATTCATAATAATAATTGACTTATCATGAAGATTAGTTGACAAGTTTTAAAACTAGGTGGCATATTTGTCGCACTACTATTTAAGTTATCCCTTTTATCTAGACTATGTAATATGCAATCACAATCTATTTAGACACATCAATGGCTAATTGGACAGTCGATCAAGTTGGAAACTGGCTAAGAACCAATAATTTAGAGAGATATATCGAAAACTTCAAAAGTAAGAAATACTCTCATTGATTTCTTGGTCATGATTTAGTTATACATATGTACAATAGATGAAGATATCGATGGTATTGCTCTGATCGGTTTAAATGAAAATGATATTTTAAAATTATTATCTACAATCGATGAAGATGGAACAATAAAGAACTCTACAATGAGAACACAGCGTAAATTTAAGGCAGCATTAGAACAGTATAGAAAGTTTGTAACACAGGAGAGAAAGAAACTTGGGAGAAGACGGTAATTCTAATCGTCATTTCTTGTCGTGAAATTTTCTTTCTTTTTTAGTTCAATAGAAAATAAAGAGCTTGATGCAAGTATACACGATGGTACAAAAAAGTAAATAAGAAAAGAAAAAGGAATATTCGGTAATTCTCTAAAAATCTTTGATTTTTATTACTCAGTGTATTGATGAAACCTTCAAGAAATATATTTCATACAATCGATAATGTAGGAACATACTCAAGATTATATACTGTTGAACCAATGAATATTAGTATGAAATTCTTCACCAGTGAATCAATTAGTTCATACTTAACAAAATATTATCTAAAAAAGTATAACGTTAGATGTTATATACCAATGCAACATCAATTTCATACACAAGTTTCACTATCCATTAAATTATCGGGAATCAAAGAGAATGTCAAAAGTGTTCACCATGATCTGCAATCATTATTTGAAACAATTAAAACAAAAATTTTCAATGATGAAGATAAAGATAAAAAAAGTAAAAGAAAAACGGGAATTATTTTCATCACTATTTGTCTCTGGCTTGCGAAAATAAATTTTCATTTGTTTTTAGTTGTGCGGTGGTCTCGATATATCTATTCAGATTCTATTCTTACAGTTTTACAAAAAATCTTTGTCGATAAGAAAAAATTAACAGTCTGGGAAAAAACAAGTATATTATCCGGATTCTACATCGTTCATTATACTAGTGGCCAACATATGTTTAGTGTTTCAGAAGAATTTATTAATCAAACACTTAATAATGAGATATCTTATGTTAAAGATATTGTTATAGAGAATATGGAAAGTATTCAACCGAAATTTCGAAAAGAATTAAAAGAATTAATTAATGAAAAAAAACAACATCAACTACAAAATCCAACAATGTCTATTATTTATTGTCAATATCCTTCTCAAACGGATATGAAAATAAGCTTTTTTGGATTAAGAAATCATGTTGACCTTGCTAAAAAGCAGATTAAACTGTTGATTAACAAACATCGAATGAGAACAATATGGATTGGACTTGATTCAAAACAAGTATGAAAAAGATTAGTTAGCCCGTTACTTAAAGGTTTCTTATACATATTTCGATATTCTAGATAAGGTAGTTATATTTTTAAAGTTAACCAACTGATTCTGTTCGAATTTTTTCGATTTCCAAATAATATACAACTGATATATTTGAAATTTGCGCCACAATTAGAGCATCTCAAATGTGTAATGAATGACTCGGAAAAAAAACGTTTTTTGTACAAATTTTCTGGCATTTTCTCGTAGAATCCGTAACTACATGTTAAACTACATCAGATAAACCCCAAGGAAATAGTTCCTGTTTCTAGTTGTGTTTGATGGTATTTGAAATGTTTTTGAAAATGCCTCGAACTTTGTTTCAAACGTCTTGTTTGCTTTTCTTTCATAAGACAAATCTAAAATCAGCATATATTAGCATCCATCATTTCATCAATTTAGATACAAAATTTACATAAACGAAAACTATCAATAGCATCGTTAAAAAGTATTCCTAAATATCTATGATTGCAAGTTTACCGGATTGGATTATATTCTCAATGAGCAGAAAGTCGAGTAATTTAATAATATTCGTCTGACTATTGATACGATTGAAATCAAAATTTTTACATAAAATATTTCGATTCAATGATAGAACAGTTTTATTTCTTGATTATTTTCTCATCAGATGATCACATAATTACCAACCATAGTTCGCAAATTGAAGATAAGATTTGTGTATATGATTCAAATCAAAATAGCTTCAGTATTTTTTCATTTTTAATATGAATTTGAAACTCATTAACGTTATCATTAGAGATACTGATGGTCACTGCCCTTTGGCCAAATGTTTTTAAAATAAGATCCGACAAAGAATGTTCTAAGAGGTCACGATTTTCTGCCATTTGATGCGACGCTTTGAAATGAAATTTTTCTTGTGAAATATAAACATCGCAAGAATTACTCCCACTAAAACTTTGTACATAAAAAATAATGTTTTCTAACAGACGCAACTACATCATCTATTGATTTCGATTCTGTGTTTGACCAATGATTTCATCTTTACTTTATTCATCCGATCGATTGATCGTTAGCAACAAGCTTAGATTTTACAGATAAGGTTGTGAGCATATTCTATTGAAGATAATTCTTAAACTATTCAGAATTTTTCATTTACTTTGAAAAATATTTTCAGAAATTTGAAGAGAATTCTCAACAAATCTGTTAGATATAAAAATTGTTTTAATTATACATCAACTAATCTTTGGGTTTTAGCGTGACTTACTAGTAGATAACTATATGCATGAATTAAAAAATGTAGAATTCAATTATAAAGATGATAATCTTAAAATTAATATTCGTGAAAATATAATTACTGCTCCACAATATTTAATTATGAAAATAAAACAATTAGTTCAATCAATGATTTCACCAACAATTACTCTGATTTATCGACACATTAAAAATTCTTGTACATTTACAGAAAAAGATCATTCGAAATTAAAAAATCTTGCTGAAAGTTATTTTTGTGAAATTGATAAAATCAATATAGAAACAAAGAAAGAACTTCTATTATTACCTAAAGGACAGGCAAAATCAACGTCAAAATCTATTATTAAAGAATCAAGCCAATTCTATTCTTCCTTGTCAATATGGAGAAAACTCGCTGTATCAAATCATACAATAGAGATTCATAAATCATATTATTTTAAAGTTAAGTGAATAAATCAATTATTTTTATTTTATTATTATTTTACGATTTTCTAGGTTGATGTTACAATTATATCAACCGTAGTAGACGCCATTAAAGAAAAAATTGACCCAAAATATGGAAATGGTTATTTTGAATCTGATACTGGTAAAAGAGTTTTATTTATTGATTGGTCACCATGCATTTTACAAAAAGACAATCATCAGATAAATGAATCAATAAAAAATTTCATTTCTACATCAATTCAACAAATAGATAGACTCTGTACAAATGTTGTCGAAACAATTGGATTCGCAACAACAGATTGGGAAAACTATAACAATAGAAAACAATTAATAGAAAATATTCTGCATGAAATGATAAAGCAACTTTCAATTCGCGACTTTTCTAATCTTTCATGGAAAATAGTATTTCTATTTAATGATGAACAAAATGATCTTTTTAATGAATTTTCACAAGCTATTTTAGCATTACAAACAGATAGAGATAATTATGAACAATTTTTTTATCCAATATCAAGTACGTCACAATTGAAATTAAGAAAATAAAGTTATAGGAAATATAGCGTATAAAACAAAGATCTGATCTCACCGTAGATATTTTGTTCTAACATTAAAATAAAACTTAATCAAATGTCAAAATAAAACATTAAAAAGTATCATAGTTTCATTTCCTTGGCTCCTATTGAATATTGTGAACAGATTTCGATGATGAAACTGACAAAAAATAACTTTTTTCAAACTTAAACATATTTCATATTAGCCACACAGTAATTATGCATCTCACTATGACATATGTCATACTCTATGAAGGAGAAGTGATGATATTAAGAAGTTTTTTTCGGTCTTTGACTGACACTTGCTTCATAATTAAGAGGATGTATTAAGTTTTCACATGTATTTTTCAACAGTATTCAGATTTCTTTTCTACTATTAGAAGCATTCGAGCGTAAATTCTCGTATGTATTTTAGCTAGTAACATATCTATGAAAATTAAAAACAATACTAATGTAACTTAAAAAATCTTGTTTAGTCAGTCGAGAGTCATGTTCGTGCTGTCCTAAAAAGTTTCCCAGATCTCTTGAAGTCACATGTGCTTCGTAGAACGAAAAGAAAACACGAAGATGTTATTATGTAGGAAAAGAAAAGACATCTTTCTTATATCCCCAATAGGACAAAAAACGTATTGAGACAATCGATAAATAACTAAGTGTGGATTCATTTTCATAACTCTCACATCAGATAAGGAGATTCGGGTTAAAACATGCGAGTTTCACATGCCAATCCGTAATAAATGTTCTCTGAGCATATTGTGAAAGAAATTAGAAAATATTAAAATAAAAGAATTCATCAGTAGTCGAATGCAGAAGCACAAATAAGTTTTAATTCAAATTATTCAATATTCTCACCAACGTCAAATGAAAAACATCAAACTAGTAGCAGCGGATCACTAAGTAGATAAGGAAATAATTGAGCAAGATGGTGACGATATTCATTTAAAAATTAAGATACTTGCACTGAAAATAGAAGACAGATGCGCGGTATATTTAGTGAAGGAATTGAGAAAAGTTGGGGCCTGTCACCTTTTTCAAAATTTTCCGATTTCAAACGTCATATCTCATTGTTTTTCCTGTTGTCTCGAACCCCAACATCGAATACCTCAGTATTTTCGAGACAATTCTGATTGTTTTATGGAATGGAGCAAACAAGACTTGTCGGGAGTCGGAACCACCTTGCAGGGCTCTGTTAATATCAAATAAAATCAAACACTATTATGTTTAAGTTTGATATTACGGACTCTTCATTTCTTTAATGGATTTAACTTGAATTAAATTCAAATGAAAATGTTTAAGATCACTATAACACTCTATTTTAAACTAGAAACTGATTACTTAGCCATTGAACATAACAAACTTTCTTTTATATAGCAAACAACCATTGATTGGAACTTAAAAACCTATCTTACTTCGTTTTCTCTTATCTAATTTTAGCTGCTTCCATTATATTAAAAACGTCAAGCAATTCAAATATTTCCAAGTGTAAAAGATCAATCAATGATTATATGAACAAACATGTACTTACAAAAATCAAATTGAACTCTCCGTTCTATGCTGAGATATGGAATAAAGACATGATTAATTCATATTACAAATATTGCCTTGAAAATTTTGTTTTGCCACAGATTATTCAAATCGATTTACAAAACGATCAACAGCAATCTTTAGATCTAATAGGGCCAATTTGTGCTGTTAATCAAGCTGTACAAAAATATGAGTTGATGTCAGATATTGAACGGCAACGTATATTAATTTATACTGAAATATCAGAATCGATCGAACAATGCCCTATAAATCCAACTTCAGTATTAAACACAACAACTGATTCTTCCAATATTTTATTAAGTTGTTGTTTTGCTGATAATATCCTGTCACGCCACCTTACCAATCGTTTGATTGAGGAAGGCTATCAAGTATCACTTGACTATTCTGATAAGACATCGTCAAGTATCGTCTCAAAAATCAAGAAAACAGATATAATTGTTGTTTGCTTTAGTTCTAATTATTCAGAAAATGCTAATTGTACGAAAGCACTACATGCAATAAAATCGTCCGAAAAGAAATATATACCGATTATGTTAACGCGAAGTTCATTGAATCAAGAAGAGAATTGGCTTCAAGTAATGAACACCGAAGAGTTATATTATGAATCATTTAATGAAGAAATAAAATTCAAGTTAAACGAAGATTTAGCCTTAGACTACGATAAATTATTGATTGAATTAGTAAGTTTTCTTTTTGACGTACAGAAGAATGAGTTTCAATCGATTCATTCGTCTACCGTTCATTATGACAGATTCACTTTCAAGAAAGCATTTAGTTAAAGTACAAACTATACATTAAATGCAATATCTTATTTTATTTTTGCTAAATATTTGTTTTCAGGAACTATGGAATTATTTTTGCGTATTAAAAATTGTACTAAATTAATAGCCACGTTAGCTAAAACTTTGTTGAGTTTTTGTAAAATCAAGAATATTTCAATTGATGTCGGCACTTCATCTGCTTTAACATTTGAGAATACATCGACAGTAAAAGGAAGTTTAGTATTTTGTTGAAAATCTCTTGATAGGAATTCTCTGAAAATTTGTATGCCCATTAAAATCATTCATTAGGTTGTCATAAAAGAAATCAGCTTCATAGCTTTGTAGATTGATGTACTCATCATTGTCAAATCGAGAAATGCAGCGAGATCTTTCCGAATCTTAACTTATCTCTTTTGAATCATCTAACACATACTAAATTTTTTATCAACAATCTATATATATATACATACATATATATATATATATATATATATATAATGTTCAGTGTGTGTCTGTGTCGGGTCAAAGGTTAAAGGTCAAAGATATTTAGAATTTTCTAGACCTTTCTGGAACCATATGAAGTCAAGTAGACTTCTAGAAAATTCCATGACTTTCTGGAATGTTCTAAAATATCCTAGAATTTTCTCTGAACTACGACACAATCAAGTGAAACGTTGAAGGTTAAACTGAGTCGTGTTATGTTACCAGAAAATTTTAGAAAGGCGTAAACTTTTACCGAATATCCTAGGATCACCTAAAATTATCCTATCCTGACTGCACGGGCTCTATCGGCAATTAACAAAGAGAATGAACATGGAGATAATTGCGATTATTCATTAGACACTAACGAAGATTTCATGAGCAATATGATACTATGAAATGAAATATTCTTTACTTTATGCATGTATATTTATAATCAGACTCAAATATTATACTTTAAAAGAAGAGAACTGGATTCTTTTTTGAAATCTAAGTTGGACCTGGAGGAAACTAAATTTACGAACCAAAACGTGGTAGAATTCGAGTTCAGTCTGATAGGCTCTATCGTGCATACTGCACGGGACCTCGCTAGTATTCATAAAATACTAAGTTCTCAATGTTCTCGAATTCTTCACATTTTCAAACGCTGCAGTAAACTAAAAAAGATTTTTATATTCATAGCTACATTATGCAAAACCTTGTGCAGTTGGTGCAATTTACATAATATCTAATAAAAACATTTTAAACAATGAGAAGCAAAAAGAAAAACATGATCAGTCAAATATAGTCACAACAATTACGCCAGAACAAAGTCAAGAACAAGAACAAATTTATCAAAAACGTATTGAACAAATTTTAGAGCGAGATCAAATTTCACCAGATGAAATAGCAAACTTAATGCATTGTTTAAACATGATTCTTGAAGATTGTGCAAACGGAAAATGTTCAACTTCGTTAAACGAACAAGAACTAGGACAATCTATTAGAAAATCTAGACGCATAACAACGGAAAACGAAGAAAAAATGCAACTTTATCAGAATGATTTTGAACAGAAGCAAGACAATGATCAAAATAAGCATGAAGAAAGTGAGTAGCACTTGTTCGCACGAATAATTTGATGAAATCATATTTTCTGCCAAGTATTTACTATTTAGGAGTTTATTGAAATCTTGAAACATATTAGAATCTATTGTATAATCCGATAGAAACAACTAAGCTTTCAAAATAAAGTCATTAAGAAAAAAAGAGAACAATAATGTGTACGGGCAATTTATCATAGTAAGGAGATTTCCAAAATAGTTGTTTTCACTAATTTTACATCTAGACAGAATTAGAATGCCTGTAAAATTAGATGTTGCAATGAACTCAAGGACAAACTGCTTTTTAATGATACTATACGTCCAGCAAAATATTGAATTCTGAGCACTTCTTTATTGCTAATAAAACATTTCCTAGTAAAATTCTACATTCGACTTCATGCTGTTCAATTTTTAGAAGTCTACGAGACTAGACTATATTTAAATGATCAATTAGTCGCATTAGAAAATTTTCGCGTAGTAATGCGAGTTGTATTAGCATTTCAATGTCCAACATGATATTCATGCAAAAAATAACAAGAAGGAATTATACTTTGCCGTTTTGTTCATAGATAAACTTGATGATAACTGGAATGTTTTAAAAAACTCAACCAGAACAGATACTTCTGTTCAGAAATATTCATACATGAAATGAAAGGCAATGTTTTACTTGTGATTCTCAGAACTCTTAAGAAACAAGTATCTGTTCTGTTTAAAACTTTCAAAAACATTAAACAGATTAACACCAGAGCAAACCAATTTAGAAGAGGTTCTTTTAATGTTTTTCTTTTCAGGTGTGACAAAGAATGTTTCAACTTATTTCAGTGCTTTTCTATCAATTGTTCAACATTGGTTAGAAAAAGCATCAAATGGTTCTGTCACTAAAGGCAATTTACCACCGTTTAGTTTAACTGGCGATTTTAATGATGCTATATTTCGAACATCTTCGAAAGACAAAACTCCATGGTGGGTAACAAGTGCGAGCCAATATGATTTTAATTGTTCATCGCTTGAGTTTCCCTTAGTTTCACGGTTAATGACTAGTTCGTTTTGTGATGGCGATGAAGCACATAGTTATTTCCGGAATTTGATCAATAGAGACATTCAATTTCTAGAATATAAAGAAAAGCAACATCAAATGAAGTCTAAGCGAGAACAAAAAAATCAAAATAGTATATTTAGTAGTGGTCCACATCAGTCGCATTTCAACACAAACATTAAAAAAGGTACTATTGTCTGGGATATTATTGAAGATAAAGAATTTCTACAAGAATATGAAAAAAGAAAATCGGGAAAGCTAATAAGAAATCCAAATAGACTCTCGATTGGTTGGAACCGATTGTTGGATCGATCAGTACAATTAGTAGCAGACATTAAAGATGGTAAAATTAACATGGCATCGAACGAGGTACAAGGCAAAATTGGCAAAGCACTCAAAACAATGAAAGAAATCAGAAAACTTAATGTGTTAGATGATGTAAATAATGAACTTTGGAGAAAAAAACGTTTTCCTCTTTGGCGACAACAATTTATTGAAATGAAAATATCCAATACGATTCAATGGCAAGAATTCTGTGCAGCACAAGAAAATCAGTAACGATGAATATCAAAATAAAAATCAACTAAGAAAAATTTTCATTGATTTTTATCCAAATTACACAATATATGAATAAATGAATTGAAATTTGGTTGACTTACTTTTTGTCTTATAAAATCTATTATATCGTTAATAACACCAGATTAATGTCCTATACCAATTTCTATCGGTTGCATTTCTATACTGAAAATCTAATTCGAATAATTCTAACCAATCATAAATTTGGATTTCTGTGAAATAAGAACTTTTCTTTAAACCGAGATTATTTCATCTATCTATATAAAATACGACGAAAATGATGATTTCTGTGTATTTTGATGAAAAGAAAAGAGAATGAAACACGAGATGTACAGTACATTTTCAAGATCTATTTATTTCTTTATGAAATTCATTCGATGAGATTTATAACTTATTGAATCGTGAAATGATTAGAAAATGCACTTTTCACTTAGACTAGTTATCAATTTCATCTTGTAATAGTTTGTTTATTTTGTTTTTCACTCGATCACGTATGCTGTTATTTAATAGACTTGATTCATCTTCATTGAAACATTCATATACTTCAAGATTTTTCACTGTCTTCTTTTAGATATAAAAATTCTAAACAATTTACATATATATTTAATGGATGTTTCACTTCAAAACCATCAGCCTGTCATTCGTCAACTACGTAAAATTGAATCGAATAGAGATGTAATAGCATTGTTTAATGAAGTTATCTTAATTTTAAATAAAACAATACACAATCAAACTGATGGTTTTAAGATATTATCTACAATATGCTTTGAAATGGCAGGATTAATTACACTTAAACCATTTAATAATCCGGAAATAATGAATCATGAATTTTTTATTATATTGAAACAAACGTTTCAAACATTATTAACTAAATTAACATTTATTTCATTAGGAAAACAGGACGAACAATGTATTGATGGAATTAGTTTATTAATAGCCAATCTATGTTTATATAAAAACACAATATCAACATGTTTCTATACTGATAATAACGAAGAACTAAATCCAATAAATGAAGAAAAATTTAGTTTTATATCATATGAAAAAATATTTTTCACAGACTCATTCCTTAAAAGATTTGTAAGAATTTTAGAAGATGATATAGCTGTACATAGTTATGACAAATATCATATTAAATATAAAATTGTTGATCGTTTACTTCGTCTTTGTATAAAGCTAAATGATATTGACAAGAAAGTAATTATCGATTCTATTGTAAAATGTGTTGAATCAAAAACTTACATGAATTTATACCAAACCGTTGATCTTGGTCAACCAATATTAAGTCCGAAGGAATCATTCTTTTTGTTTCAATGCCCAAAATTTATTCGACTATGTAGTTTCGAACGACAAGATGAAATATCTAACAAATTATCAAAATCAATAATAAAATATCATGGGAATATTTTTGAAAAAAATCTGTCAAATATTTTAATAGGCGAATTCGTCTTAAATTCAGCGATAGCTTCTTATGTCGAATTATTAAATCATATTGCTTTAACATCAACAACAAGAGAGTTATTTATCAAAAGTAAGTTCAAATATATTTTCATAATGGATTCGTAGAAAAAGTATCACAGCATAGCCTTTTCAACGTTCAGTGAACTTTTTCAAATTTTTCAATGTATCATTACTTGTATACAAAATATTAGCGTTGAATCAGACGAAAATCATCGTTTAGAAAAATGAACAATATCTATTGCTACACAAGTTCTTTGAAATAATTTTAAAAGACTAACTATTTGTAGACTCATTAATTTCCAATTGTTGGTACGTGTTCTTATTTTTATTAGACTTAGAGTATCAACAATCAAAGTGTTCTGTAGAAATTTTTGCCTATTACACATAGTTTCGAATAAGATAAACATACAGAAGATATTTTTTCTATTAACTTTCATAAAATAACCTACAATTTTTAAGACAATTAAGCATTTATTCAAGAGACGATCTTGAGTACTGCATGATATATAGACTTGCAGAAGATCAGAATTCACTCACTACATAAGTTTCTTTTTAAAATGTTCCCATGTCTAATATACAAATATTTGTTCAGTTTCTTCTTAACATCTATTCGAATTTTGAACACTATTTTGCTTGTCATGAAATAAATCTATAATCATTATTCAGGTATATTCTTATCTGCATTATATAGTATTCTATTTATTTTTTTAGAATTTGATACAGATAAAACTGTGGTAGATCAAATGATTGAAATATTAAAAGGATTATCATCAATAGAAAGTATTTATAGAAACACTAAATTATTCCATGCCGATGTTGCTCTTATGTCATATTCAATAGCTCTTTTGTATAACTTGACATTTGAGAGAAAAATTTTTTATGAACTAAGAACTCGAAATGTAAAAGATATTTGTAAAGAATTATACAAAGCAAAAGATAAAACAATACAATTCGCATCTCGAACATTAGCTGTAATTTTAAACCAAGAAGATATTGATTCAATCGATAGTCCCTCAAAAGTAGCTGATTCTTATTTATATTTTATTGAAAATACAATTGACAATTCAACAGTTACCCATCATGGAATTAAATTAGATGGTGTCCTAATCAATCTTGAAGGTATAATTTTCTTATTTTCAAAAATCTTTTCCTTTGCTGTTATTATTAAAATGAGCTTATGAAAACCGTGAAATATAAAATACTATATAACGATAATATTATTGTTATTTCTTTCGGGTAATGGTCATATATTGATATCATAAAAAAACAATCAAATAGACTTATTTAAACGACATTTTGTTAAAAAATAATATAAAAGCAAACAAACACAAGGCTACTTCCGTGAATAAAAAATAAGCTGAGTGGTAAATACTTCCTAAAAATAAAGAAATAAAATATTAGTAATTACTATGTATAGTATCTAGGGGCGAAAGAATCTTCCCTTAAAATATATTACCTTTGAGACATAATATTTCTTTAGATAGACCGATTAGAGACATTAGAAAAAAAACTTCAAAGAATTTATATCCAAACACAACTTACTTCTTGGTGTATGGCCATTGTAGTAAATTATTCAATTAAATATCATAATCTTAGTTAAAATACGCAACTACTCTATCTGAATCTATCAGACCTTCTGTCGAAATATAAGTAGAAGAGAAAATGACAATTAGAACATTTTGACTACGAACCAACATATCTTTAAAGCCTCGAAGCGAAAGAGAGAGAGAGAAAGAGAGAAAGAGAGATCTTCTCGATCTATTTTTGCATGCATAATCGAACTCTCAATTAGGTACAGCACAGATCAATAAAAAATACGTTGTCTCATGGAGAAACTCTTCCCCTACATTTCTACATATATCTCATTCAGAAATCAAACTCAGAAATTCAATAGTTTCCGACTGATTTACTCTCATTCCGTACTAGATTCGTAAATTTTTTTAATTCAAAAATTGGTTTCGGCCAGATTCTCACATGTTGCGAAGAATTTGATTAGAATCGGTATAATTCTAAAAAGAAAACATATCAAGATTAGTCTATTCAGGATTTTTCGGTTTTCAGTAAGTTCCAGTTAGAGATGTAAAATTTATTTCAAAAGAAATTGATCATTTGATGAAGATCTCTCATTGTGAAAATTTAACAATTATGGTGAAGTCGATTCCACCTTAACAAATTTTTGATATGAATTATAGCTAAGAATTTGAACACGTAATATTTTAATTCAATTTTAGTCATTATTCAAAGCGATGCGATCAAAGATGAAATTATTAATCATGACAATGGTATATTACTATTAGCACGATGTGCATATGAACCAAATCTAGATAATGAAACAATTCAACATCCAGCTCTTCGAATTATTGATGCAGTTTCATTCGGAAAAGATTCAGTTGTGAAACAGATAAAAGAAAACGATGCTCTCATGAATCATATTAGAGAGTTATGTGATACAAATGATAAATATCAAGTAGTCACAGCTAAACGTATTCTATGGAAAGTAGATGAAGAATTAAAATTTGTGTCAACACAAGAACAACAAAAACAAAACGAAATAAAATTAATAAACGTTTTCGATGAAAAAAAAGCTATTTATCAGTATATACGAGGTGATCATTATTTTAGTTTAGAAGAGCATAAGAATTCAGGAAAATTTAACCTGATGATTAGTTATTGCCAAGAAGATAAAGATATTTGTCTTAAAATTTATAATCGTTTAACAACATCAGATTGTTATAAAGTTGCATTCGATAAAGATAATTTACACACTGCAAATCCAAAAGCCATGGCAAAAACAGTTGAAAATTCATCGATTATTCTTATTTGTTTTTCAACAAAGTATCAAAATTCATATGCAAGTCGATTAGAAGCTGAATATACTATGAAACGAAATCGGCCTATTATTCCAATAAAAATCGATCATCAATACAATTCAAGAGGCTGGTTAAAAGAAATTATTGACAAAGAAAAATATATTGACTTTACAAAATATGAGTTCAATACTTCATTTACGCAATTAATTGATCAAATCAATGAGCTACGTGAAAATCTTCGTAAATTATAGCAGTTGCAATTTATAAGAATGCTTGTTTTTTACTTTTATATTCATTTTTTGTTTTAAATATCATGTTTTTACGATGATTTGATGATTCAGTCCTACTTCATAGATCAATAAAATAAAAATATGACTTTTATAGAAAATTATATCTTTTTGCAAATGCATCAATTAAAAGAAGTTCAAATATAATTATATTGAAAACAAAAGGACATTGATTTTCTCATCATTTTCATCAATTAAAATGTGTTTCTGTAATTTCAATCGCTATTTTAACCGTAGAATAGGTAAACCAAGTATAATACGATGTTGTCTAAAATATAAGTATATTATGTAAGATACTTCTAAACTAATAGTGTAAATATTCTCTGTATATAATTTGAATTTTATTTGCCGATTGAACGTTTGTTGTGCAAAGTTTTAATGTTAAGTTAGCTTCTATGATGTCTTAACGTAAATGAAAAATATAAATACATCAGCAGTATTTTTATCATACAGATGAATATAGCAATTGATATAACTCATAGTTTTTATTTTCAAGTTTATAGGGTTTATTTTATCTTGATTATTATTATTCAAAAGAGATATGAATGTTCTCTAAAATTGTAGTGAATACTGAGTGATGAGCTGATTTTATTTTCATTGTCTCTTCGGACAAAACCAATTTATTCTATTTTTTTAGAACGTTTCTAATATAAAACCCGTAAAATGTGAATAAAAGTATATGAAAAAGTACCGAGTAATATCAATGAATATTTAAGTCTTAACAAAAATATGAACAGAACGAAGATGAAATAGTAAGAAAAAAGTCGAAGTAAGATCATGTTAAACTGGTAGTAACATATCGATCAATAGTGTGTTAGTTGGTAACATATATCAGTTAAAATAATTTGAAAATAATTTCTGAAGTATATGTTTACCTGTCTCTCAGCGACATCTTTTTATTGCTTTGATGTAATATGCGCGACGTAACTGACTTGTATGTGGCTAGAACTAAAACTATTGATTAAGCTGTGTGAAACAAAATCATCATTTTGACTTCTAGAATAAGTGTTACAAATTTTACTACTGTCGATGAGCATAATAACGTGTGAAAAAATTCTGACAACAACTAGCATTCCTATTGAAGATTCTCCGAAACAGAAACAGACTCAAATGATCGACCATAGTTTCTTCCCGGATAATTCAAACGATCGAATTGATTCGGCTCGTGTTCGATATCCTCATTGTATTGTTTGGACGCCAATACCAGTTCTTACTTGGATTTTCCCATTTGTTGGTCATATGGGTATTGCTCGTACAGATGGCGTCATTCGAGATTTCGCTGGACCTTATTATGTATCAGTGAGTAGCAGTAAAACTTTATTTGTTGATATTGACATAATGATTTGAATACACAGGAAGATAATATGGCTTTTGGTCTACCAACACGGTATATTCAACTTGATCTAAATCGTGTTTCAAAAACAGAAAATTCAAGTAATATACCTACTCTTTGGGATAACGCTGTTGAACAGGCATCAGATGAATATAAAAAGCGTATGGTAATTTCTATCAAATTCTTCTACTTTTTTCGGCTATTTTTAATATTTAGCACAATCTATGTTGTGATAATTGCCATTCACATGTAGCTATGGCATTGAATATAATGGGTTATGATCGAAAATATACATATAATATGGTTTCACTTGCAATTTGGATGTTTTTCTGTGGAAAATTTGTTAGGTATACCAAGTATTAAAAGAACGTATTTCTTTTTCATGTATGTTTGTATTTTTAGTTTTCTTGATTTTCTTCGTTCTTGGATACCATTTCTTATTATCGCGTGTATAATTATTACTATCATTGTTGTTGTAAAATTTCACACATAATTTTAAATCAGACAAAATAATTAATTTATGTTTATATTTTTATTTTACAGTTTGAATTTTACGAATATATGTAAAAAAATTAAAAAAACCAACAAAATAATTCATCATAGTAGTCGATTCCCTTGTCTTGCAAAAAAACCTCTATGAATACCTTCGAATCTATTCATTAGTCACATTGATGGAATGTTCATCTAATCGTAAATAATATAATGAGAATGTTACTATAGATTATTATGGAGAATATTTAAAAATATACTTGTGTTCAAGAAGTTTAAAGTAATGAATTTAAAATTTTCAGTGATTCAATACAAAATAAAACGATGAAATTACAGTGTAAATTTGATAGGATATAACTTACGGTTATTCTGAAGCATCAAAATCGATCCTCTTCTGATTCGTTGTTTTTATCATTTTACTTGATAAATTGATGATAGCTTTTTAATTTTCAATAACTTAAAGGATTCTCAAGAAAGAAAAAAAATATAGAGTGACGATGAAAACTATTTGTGAACTGCATAACACGCATTTATTAGAATCAAAATTTACTCTTGTTCTCGTTGGTGACTCTTACTTTTTGTTTCTTTTCAGGATTTCAACAGAACTTAATATTGTTTTTATGCATTCGAGTCAGCAAAATCTCCTTCTTAAGTCAATGTTACTTTTTGAAAATCATTTCGAAATTCTTGCTTTGTTAATGTTTTCTTTTTTTTATATGAATAATTTCAATACCAAATAAAATTTTTGTAAGATATCTTACATATCTACATGAATATAAAATGCGATATTAAAAATATTTACGCTTATATGCAGTTACACATTATATATTTCAAGATTTAGGCTTCATCATAAAACCCAATGAATCAAATTGAGTACATCTCATTGTGCACAGTACTCTATTTAACGAATAGTTTCAGATTCTAATACAAATTTGAACTATGAAAAGCAATAAAAATGAACAGTAATATCCTCACTTGTAATCAAAATAATTTCCGGACTAATATTTATTGTTCATCTAATTTTTACAATTGTTAAAAACATCAACTTCTACTAGTAAATTTAGGAAAAAGTTTCACTCTTCCTCCGGGAAATTTCGGTTGAGTTCTAGCAAAATTGTAAAACTTCAGAACACAAATATTTTCTCCTTCTCATGGTTGAAACATTTTATGCATATATATATATGATGCAAGATAAATTGAGTTTGTTAAATTTATGTACTCATTCATAATCCATGATACAAATCAAACAGTTTTTTCTCTTGAACTCATATTTTTTGTTTCTTTCGAATGCATTTTTCTTATTGAAATTTCTAGCACTTATTAAAATATTTATTTCAGTTCCTAGTTTCAATGCAGAAAAGATCGAATTGACAAGGAATACATTTCAGAAGAATATCTTGACAAATAAAAGTGCACAAATACGGATTGAATTAGCAGCATTTTTATATAAATTTATTCCATCAATGAAAGTATATCAGTATATCAGTAAATCGTAATTTTTATTCAATTCATTCAGTTTATTATTAAAAAGCATTTAGCCATGATGAATAAATGGATTTCTTTCTTCTTGCTTAATAATATAAAAGATGTGAGTTGTTATCATTATCATCAATTCACCTTATTTTCATGTCAATGGTGAATTTTAAAAAAGATGAGACAAATATTTTTAGATTTTTTTTGAAAAATTTCTAGCTAGTCGTTAATTCTTTCGATAAATGTGAAAGTGTGTGTAAATAAACAAAATGAATTTTCATCTACTAATCCACATCAAAAGGTCGCCGAAAATCCAACTCTTTCATATTAAGAATCTATCACAATTAGAATAGATTATCTCAAGTAGGAAAAAAATGAATTTTCCCTTTTATTTTTTCAAATGCGAAACAAAGGAAGTCAGTGAATGTGTTCAAATTTCGATGTGAAAAATTGAATTGTTACATTGAGTTGATGTTGTATATGAGCAAGATAGTCAACTAGCTGTGAAATGAAAGATGAAGTACAACACGTGCTGTGGAGAAAGAGAAAGATAAAAGTTCTTTTATATGTGCACACATTTACATCGTCGATAGAAGATTAGACCAACACCACATACGAATTGTTCGACAGGCGAAAAAGACGATGTAAGATGAAAGTTTATTGTTAGCTTTTTTTTTGAGTAAAATTTATTTTTCTCTAATATGAAGATAAATGAGATTAGTATTGAGCAGGTGTTTTTTTACATTGAACACACGTTCTTGTTTTGTTTTTCTAATACGTAAATGAATGAACAGAATGAAAAATGAGTTTTAATTTGTTTTTTTCTTATCATAGAAATTGAAGATCGGTCAAATAAAAGCGAAGAGAATTGCTTTCGGAATATTCATTTATTCTTTTTTTGTTTGCTCTATGTCATCATGTGTATATATATACATTTCAAGTTAGTTTTTATCGTTGTTTAAAAGAAGAGAGACTACCTTATCTCTATCTCTCTCAATGTTGGCAAACGATGAAAAAAAAACTACAAGAGAAAGAATATAAGAGCACCTTTCCTTTTGTTTTACTGCCTTCTTTTGATTAATAAATAATCCTTCTTTCTTTTTTCTCAACACAGAATCAACTTGTTCACATATCATATCAATTCTTAAAATGAATAATAGGTAAGAATTCAAAATAAATAAATAAATAAAATAAATAGTTTTCAAAGTATTAATTAAAATTTTTCTTTAATTAAAATACATTAACAAAAGCTATATGATGAGAGTAATATACGTTTGATAGGATAAATTTCTATTATTTCCAGTTTTTATATTTTATCAATCAGTATAATAGAAAGGAAATTACTTCTACTACTTCCGAGATCGATAAGTATTTTCAAGCTTGTGTCATTTTTTGTAGAATCTTAAAATATTTTTGAAGAGAATAGTTAGTATAGATTTTAAGTCGAAGTTTGCCATTCATTTAACTTGCCAACTTCAATTATTCCAATTAAGAGCCACGTTTTATGTTTTCATAGAAGTCAAAGATGTAAATCAATTATTTAAATAGTTTTGTCATTCTGACCTACGTAGTCATATATATATATATGTAAGGTTTGTTTAGAAAACAAAATTCATTGAAATTTTACGATCAAAGTGAGAAACCAACATTGATAAGAATATAGAATTAAATTAAGCGAATGTAATTCACTAATAATGAAGTAATGTTGACTCTGTATTGTTTTTGGTTCTAAGACGAGCCTAAATCATGGGATGAATTAGCAGTCTGCATTCTACAAAAGTTTATTCAACCTAAAACTTGTATGTTCTACAATTTTGCAGTGATACAGAGTTAACTCTCTATCCAGTTCTTTTAATATTTTAATTCACCATTTTTATTGTAAAATAATGACATTCAACTGATGTGATGTTAATGAAATTTTGAATGTATCAGATATATTTCTACTTGATTATATGATAAAGGAAGTTCTTGTTTAATATAGATGATTTAGCCCATTAAATACGATTGATTCCTTATTCTAGATCATAACTACATAGACAATTTGGGAAAAGTTTTTGTACTATAGCCGTTGATATATGCCATTCTAAATATTAAAGCTCTCTATAGAACCCTTTTTTTTGCAATAAATGGCTCATTTTGACTAATATTGAAGAAAAAATATTGTTTTAAATTGACCTACGCAAAATGAATTTAAAGAATTAGTAAAAATATATACGAATTACTAGAAGATGATTATTCTATTCGTAGTTAGACAATTCTTGTTTTGTAATTATTTAAAGTACTCCTTTTTTAAATGAAACATCTCACTTATGAAAACTCAAAGTTGATTCAAGATCATCTAACAGATATTCCTAAAAAGATTATATTTTACTCGATAGAAAAGAAGTGTATATGTTCATATTTAGATATTAGATATTATTTCCGTTGTTTTATTGGTCAAGAGATTTCAAAATTCTAAAAGTCTTTTTATTACTTGTATCGATTCTTTTATAAGTATATTGTTTTAAAACTAGGTTCAATAGTCACATATCAGTATAATTAAATATTTATAAATTCTATAAGACGGAAAATAAATAAATCAAATGATAAGGGAGAAAATACGAGAGATTTCGGCTTATTAAATTGTATCATATTTCTAGTTTTAATTTTTTGAAAATTTTCATCAAATGCTCTATCGTGAGCTTTTCACATACCTATTCGAACAAATGCAATAATGTTGTATATTAGGTAAAGTTTATCCTGTATTCTTTACTGAGCGGCGTTACTTGTTTTTCAAGTAGAAAATTTTACTCTGGACACTTGATGAAAGTTAATGTCTCTGTTGAACATCAACACTGTTTCATTTCTGTTCTCAACAATAATTAAAATCACTTTATTCGGAAAAAAGCAAAAAGTGTCCTTTTTGTAGACGTTTTCTCTCTGAGTTTGAAAGAATTTGTCTGAAGTACGATCCTGTGTCCCAATAAAATAAAAACGAATGGTATGAAACCAGTTATGATAAATGGGGACGAGAGATGACTATATTTTGTATATGAGCAAGATCTCTGCCAGTTGATCACATAGAAAAATGTAAATCAATATATTGATACTCTCATAGATGTCGTCTGAAAAGAAAATAGTTTCATTGATTTAAGTCAAAAACTTTTTTTATGGAGTGTTGAATGTAATTATGAAAAATTTATGATAATATATTGTTCTACGTTCTGTAATAAGTTCAACGTATGAAGTAAAGGTTTTCTAGACTGAATATTTGTTCCGTATTGACTTGAAAGAATTCTGGAGGGAGACAAAGATACGGATTGGAAAGAGAATAATTTTACATGTTTTTTTTACAAGTATGTCTGTAGTTATTGTTTTTCTACTTTTGTGTTCAAGAATAGTGAGAGAATGTTTGAAAAGTAAATTTGAATGAACAATATTTTTTTCCATACATTTTTACGATCCCAATATCTGGATTTGAAAGTGTAAGTATAAAGATCTTTTTTCTTCGTGAATAAGTTCGTGAATAAAACTTTGAACTTGTATATTCAC